TTATAAGTACTTTTAGAATAATAGGTATTGTCTTGTATCCTAAAACCTACTATACAGTAATGCAATACATAATTTCTAAAAACTGACGCAATATTAGTTTTATATATAAATACAGGCAATACTACTTTTTTTTCCCCAACCGTTTAAGATTAAGTCAATGATATATGCGAACGTCGGAATATTAATTTTAAAAGATTATGTAAGACATCAATTAGTTCACAATTTTTTTTTTAAATACTCATAACTCTTCCAATTGGTAAACAAAAAATAACTCTTCCAAAAATATATTCGAGAAAATTATGCACTATATATATAATCATATATTTAATATTTATTGCTCCAATCTTATAAATAAGATCTAAATAGTTAAATTATAAAGGGCAAATTAACTAAAATTGATTAAATTCAATAAATGTGTAACAAATATATTTTATTTTCTCAAAAAGTTGTTTATTCATGGAAGGAGTGTGTGTGTGAGAGAGACAATAAGGGTGGAAAAAATTTAGACAGTGATAGTATAATAACTAATTAATAGAACCAAAAATAAAAAAATTAGTTAAAATTTCAGACATCCTTTAAATTATGGCTTATAATTTCTTAATATAAGAATTAGATAATTAGTTTGTGAATATTAAACAAATTAGTTAAGTTAATTATTCATAATAAATAATTATTATTTTTCCTAAAATATTTTTATTAATTATGTGTATTAGAATGAAAACTATTTAACATGTGGAATCACTACAGAAACTACTTTGAGAAAATATGAATAAATTTAAGAGTTAAAATGAATAGACATGTTATATTTAAGACCGAATTAAATTTCAAACTAACTCTTATATTTAATATTGAAATAAATAGGACCATGGTCAAATCTTTGATGATTCTATCATACATGATTGAGTTGCGAAAACTTCTGAATAGGTATCCTATGCCTGATCGAATTGATCGGGTCATATAGGAATAAGGTTCAAGTCTATCGGTCTGTTAAGATGTCTCAGCTGCATACATTACTGACCATCTGTTTCAAAAATCATATCTTATACATAAGTGAATAATATCTTAATTATATTTCACGTGGGCAGTTGAGCACCCTGCTTGCTAAATAATATTTATTTAATAATATCCTAATCTCATAATAATCAAATTTTGGGGCGTGCAATCCTTTCCCCCGCTTTCCTTTGACTTTTTTTGAATAAACAAATCATTCCACGCTTCTCTTTTTTGGGATGAAATTTCATTCCACATTTCGTTGTCAGCGTGGGATCCAAGTCACCATTCTAAGCCCCCCCTGGTTTTTAAATGTGAAACCTCCCTTGGTATTTTTCTTTTAAAACAATTTTCTTATTTTCATGACACAATATATATATTTCTTATCTCGGAGAACTCAAATTGACGTCTATCTACAATCATTAACTAATTTTTACGGGATAATTCGGGATTTTACTATCGACAAGATGATTCGGGTAATGATCCTTAAAAAAAAGGCGTTGACAATTTGACATGAAAAGAAAAAGATTTTATGGAAGTCAAACCAGTACTAAAATAAAATCAGACCAAAATTGATTTGAGGGGTATTATTGTAAAATGATAAGCAGATGAGGCAACGCCCACGAAACAGGATGGAAGGGGAATATAAGCCCCACTGCGCGGTTGTTGTGTCCGCATAGGCAAAGCCAAAAAGGACTGCTTCTTTCCCTGCGTTTTTTCCTTTGTTTCCCTTCCATGAAGGCATCGATTCTTCCGTGGTTCGTCAATAAATTTCTTTTTCTTTCCTGCCAAGAACCCATTTTTTCCCACTTGCTTTCTCTGAGACTTTATACGATACCATAATCAAGTTTTCTACTTTCTCTTGTATTTCCTCTGCGGCATCAATAGCAGAAGCTCAAGCAGCTGAGAGAGAGGAGGGGAGAGAGGTGGGGAGAGAGAATTCTGGCAGAGATTAATGGGTAACTGCCTAGATTCTTCTGCCAAAGTAGATGCAGCTCAAAGTTCCCGAGCTTCTGGTAACTAATCCAATTCTTTCTGCATCACTCCCTCTAGATTACCCTCTTTTTTCTTTTTTTCTCTCCCCCCCCCCCCCGAGACGCGTGATTCTGCTCATTTTGGCTTATCAGTGTTAATTTTCGTGGTATTCTGGGATTTGGATTTTCAATGGGCTGATGTTTTGCTGAATTTCTTGGTTTGGGTCGCTGGGATTGAATCTGCGAGCTCATTTTTCTCAGATTTCGTTTTCTTAACTACGGTGCTGAGTTTTCTGGGCCTATTTATAGTCTTTGGTGTTTTAAGTTTGTTTGCTTTAGCTTTGGATTGTTAAAAGTGTTGCAATTCTTCAAAAATATCCCTCCATGGGTTGTAAATAAATCTTATTTTAAATAATTTATCATAAATTTCTAGTTCTTTTTTGACATGGCTGCTTCCAGAAACAAAGCGGGTGACATGGTTTGATATTGATGCGGTTGTTTTCTGAGCAAGTTCTTTGGGCTTTGGGAGATCAACTTTAATCTCCGCAAGTGGATTGTCTTGTGGGATGATTGATGTGCTAATTCTTCCTCTTCAAATTTAGCTCTACTGCTTAAAGTATGATGTATATTGGTACTGACCTACATGGTTATAGTATTGTGGTTGACTTTGGAAGGTCTTCTAAAACTGCTCGCCTGGTGTGTCGGCATTGTTCATGTGCTAACCATTTTTATTTTTCTTCTGTCAGGATCTGGAATTTCCAAAACTAGCCCTTCATCTGCACCTTCCACCTTATCAATTCCATCGTGCAGTGAAAGAAGCAATGCCTCAAGTCTTCCCACACCAAGGTCTGAGGGTGAAATCTTGTCTTCTCCGAACCTAAAGGCTTTTACATTCAACGACCTGAAGAATGCCACCAGAAATTTTCGTCCTGATAGTCTTCTTGGTGAAGGGGGATTTGGCTATGTTTACAAGGGTTGGATTGATGAAAACACGTTCCAGGCTGCAAGACCTGGATTAGGGATGGTTGTTGCTGTGAAAAGGCTAAAACCTGAGGGCAGCTTTCAAGGTCACAAGGAGTGGTTGGTATGTATCTGCTTTCACACTTTTATTTATCCCTCAACCTTTCTTGCCTTATATAAAATTATATATTTTTGCTTGTTTTCAGTCATGAATGGTCTAGTTACTGAAAACTTGTGAATTTTCAGACTGAAGTTAACTACCTTGGGCAACTCCACCATGTAAATCTGGTTAAACTAATTGGGTACTGCTTGGAGGGAGAGAACCGGTTATTGGTCTATGAGTTTATGCCCAAAGGGAGCTTAGAAAATCATCTATTTAGGAGTAAGTTACGGAAGCCATTACACTGTTATTTTATGATATGTGTCTCTTCAGTTATATATTCATCATTTTTCACCAAATTGCCTCAGGAAAAATGGGAAAGAAGTTAGCAGTATTACTTATTCCAATAATGGTGTTTTATGTTCTTAACTATCATATGGTGACATTAATCTGTCAGTTCGTTGATAGCAGATAGGTTTAAAATCGATTATGAATTGCTCATTGCACTTGGATTTGTAGAAACTTGCTTGTTTGGACTTATGAGTTCATTATGTTGACAGGAGGGCCACAGCCACTCTCTTGGTCAGTGAGGATGAAAGTGGCCATTGGGGCTGCCAGAGGGCTCTCTTTTCTCCACAATGCCAAATCACAAGTCATATACCGTGATTTTAAAGCTTCCAATATCCTGCTAGATGCGGTACGTTCAACAAATGGGGATAGAATTAAAACTTATATGTTTTTATTAGATTGTTTGAACTAATCATTTGTCATGCAATGGGATTGCAGGACTTCAATGCTAAACTCTCTGATTTTGGCCTAGCTAAGGCAGGTCCTACTGGTGATAAAACTCATGTATCTACTCAAGTTATGGGTACTCATGGATATGCAGCTCCTGAATATGTTGCGACAGGTCTGGTTTAACTTCACGCAGAACATTACTGGTGCTTTAAATTGTTGGTGGTCCTTAATCATTTAATGGCCATTTTAATATTTTACTGGACAAATTAATCCTTTGAAAGTCTAGTATGGATCTGATCATTGTATTAGTTCCTTTTTGGTGGTATATGTATAGAGGCTTACATCTTAGGGAAATAATTCTATGAGGTTAATGGATTTCCTTTAGAAAGTCCAATTTTTACATTTTTTTGAAACGGGAACGTGTGGGTCTCTAATTTTATGTTCATCATGTTTACTCTGTTGTTAAACATCATACTAAAGGCCTTACTGATTGGCAGGTCGGTTGACAGCCAAGAGTGATGTCTATAGCTTTGGGGTTGTGTTGCTTGAACTTCTATCTGGACGGCGTGCAGTTGATAAATCAAAAGCTGGTGTGGAGCTAAATCTGGTAGATTGGGCAAAACCATATTTGGGTGACAAACGAAAACTTTTCCGGATTATGGACACCAAGTTGGAGGGCCAATACCCTCAAAAAGGAGCCTGCACGGCTGCAAATCTTGCTCTACAATGCTTGAATAGTGAAGCCAAGTCAAGGCCTCCGATGACTGAGGTCTTAGCAACACTTGAACAGATTGAAGCCTCCAAGAATGCCGGCCGACGCTCCCATTCAGGGCCACAGAGAGCCCATGTTCCTATAAGGGGTTCTCCTGCACGAACCAGGTCCCCACTACATTTAACTCCAACTGCATCCCCTTTGCCAGCTCACCGGCAATCTGCTCGTGTACACTGAACTACAAACATCTTGTGTAAATTCCTTATTATCAGAATGTGTTTTCTATAGGATTTGGTGAGATATGTACTTAGCAAATTTTGGCCTATAATCAAGACAATATTGGTACCTTCTTTCCACAAGCTATGTAAATATAATTCTGCCGAAAGTTTTCCTTTTTCCCGTTTCTTGTCCATCATTGCAGGTAGTGAGAAAAAGTGTACTCAAAACAAGAGGTTGGAAGAAGCTTTCTCTTTTGCCTTACTATTCTTACATCCTAGAACTGAAGTAGTATGCAGAACTTGGGGTTTTAAGAGTGAGAATAAGAATGAGTTCTGGTTCTTCTACTATACGTTCTCTTATGATGAAATCCTAAGTTTAGCTCTATCTGTTCCAAGGCAGCCACGACTTCAGCCATTGTTGGGCGATGTTCAGGGTTTAAGCAGAGGCAATGTAGTATTAGTTGAGCCAACTCATAGGTTCTTTCCATCGGAAAATTATGTCCCAGTCTCTTGTCTATGACGCGGTGAAGTTCCAATTTGTTACTTAGAAATGGTTCAGCCCACTGGGCAAGATTCCCCACTTCCCCATCTGAATGTTTCCTAACTGCACCAGAGCCTGATAATATCTCTAGCAGGAAAACCCCAAAGCTATAAACATCAGCTTTTAGAGTCAAATGCCCTGTAGAATAACGAGACGCTTTAAGAAGCAAGCTTGCATATTTTTCATGCTTATGAACTGAGGATGCCTGAGAGTTTGTGATGTAGCTTCTGTGATATGATCAAGGATGTCTCAAGTACCTGCGGCTATGTACTCAGTCGCAAAATAGACCCTAGCGCCGAGGATTCTTGTGGATACATGGGACTGGTCATCTTCAGGTCCATCTCTAGCCAGTCCGAAATCAGAAAGCTTTGCATTGAAGTTCTGCAATATCATTCTTACGCAGTCGATAATATGAAAATGAACGCCCTTATGCATCATTATAATGGAAGCCGCAATACTAAAAACGAAAGGTTGCTATCAGAAGAGGGAGAGTAAGCATCAATTTTAGCGGCTCACAGCATCTAGCAGGATATTGGCAGATTTAATATCACGATGAATTACTGGTGTTCATAGCTGTGAATATAATCTAAACCCCTTGCAGCCCCAAGTGCTATATTAATTCTTCTATTTCAGTTTAGCTTTCCTCTGCCTGGTGTTCATGGGACTGGTCATCTTCAGGTCCATCTCTAGCCAGTCCGAAATCAGAAAGCTTTGCATTGAAGTTCTGCAATATCATTCTTACGCAGTCGATAATATGAAAATGAACGCCCTTATGCATCATTATAATGGAAGCCGCAATACTAAAAAACGAAAGGTTGCTATCAGAAGAGGGAGAGTAAGCATCAATCTTAGCGGCTCACAGCATCTAGCAGGATATTGGCAGATTTAATATCACGATGAATTACTGGTGTTCATAGCTGTGAATATAATCTAAACCCCTTGCAGCCCCAAGTGCTATATTAATTCTTCTATTCCAGTTTAGCTTTCCTCTGCCTTCTGTTCATGCCAAGACACAGCACAGTACAAGGAACATGTGTCATTCTTAATTCTTTATTATGGCTTTTGGTTCTTAAGTAAGGGGGTGTTTGGATGGAAACCAAACCATGGTTTCAAAAGTGCTTTTATGGTTTACGAAATAAATATGTGGAGGAATTTATCTCGTATTACAGAAAAGTGCTTCTAAGAAGAACTTTTGAGGGTTGCCAAACACCCCCTAAGTCTCAAAACGCTTACCTTCCGAGGGATGGTCCTCCAAGCTTCCCTCATTCAGGTACTCAATCACAAGCATTCTATGCTGACCCTCACGGCAATACCCTATGAGATTCACCGCGTTTGGATGGCTAATTTTGCTCAAATATATCACTTCATTCTGCAGGAACAGATAGTATTCAGATACAGACAGGTACATATTTTTCTGCAAACACAAAAAGCCTCACAAATATGCAGTTTTTTTTCTTCCTTGTAGACTTGGTCAACCACGTGAAAAAAATATCAAATTTATAGACCCCCATGAATGATGTGAACGAAAAAAGCGCTGATTTATTGGTCTATAAACTATAAAGGCGAAACAAGACCAGCCATTCTTCATGTCCTCGTGATCCAAGCCTTCTTATTCTTTTAACAGCAATGGGGAATCCTTCATTTGGTTTTGCAGCTTTCATGGTGTAGTGCGAGAGATATCCCTTATAAACATCAGCAAAACCTCCTTGGCCAACCAAGTTCTTAGTGCTGAACCTGCGTGTGGCATCTTCCAAGACTTTATAGGAGAATTTCTTGAGCTTACCAATTTGAAATCTTATGCCCTTGTCTACTGTCAGAGCTTGCAAATCCCTTGGATCAGCTATATATTTCTTCTTGTAATCTCTCTTCCTCCCTCCTGACCCACAAATCGTTTGAATGACTAACAGAAAGAGGGGGGAAAAAATAAAACCACCCACAAAAGGCATGATTACAAATTGGATTAACATCTGGTTTGATATTGTTCTGTATCTCTGTGATTGTTTGAAACAACAAACAGATTCTTCTGTTCATTGAGAATCCATGGTCTTGCCACGTGGGCATGTCGTCCTGCACGTTAAAAAAAAAGAACAAAAAAACATACACCAGTTGAATAACAGGACATCTGAAGAAAGCAGAGAAAGTCAGTTTAGTTTTAGTGTTATATTGTGAGGACTTGTTCTGAAGGAAGTTGGGCATGAAATGCAGCAATACCATCAGGGTGATGAACTATATTATTGTGGGTTTGGTTGGGATGCTGAGAATTCGTGCTCAAACAAAATTCCATTATTCCTTTTGAGGTCTAAGATCCACAGGCAAAAGATCCAAAGTGGGTTATTTCAACCTGAAAATCTAGAGCTCGGAAAAAAAATAATTTAGCTGCTTAGTTGATAGCTGGTATGGTGAAGTGGACCAAGGGAAAACTGTTTGTGGGGTCTTGTACTGATGTGAATCCAAAAAAAAAAGGGAAACTTTTTCACGGATATAAACGAAGTGACATAATTTTAATTGGATGATCATGTTAAATTGATTGCTTATACAGATAGGAGAGAAAGGATGTTCGCAGGTCGCCACTTCGCGTTCTAATGTCGCCCTTTCATTTTGACCAAAAAAAAAAAATGTCGCCCTTTCATTGGGGGATTAAGAATAAGATACCCGCTTGTGATCACCTTAGACCGTGGTAGCATGTTACTCAACAACACTTTAATTTACTTTGGTTTATAAATTTATAATTTTTTTCCCCTTAAACTCTTTCCATTGATTATACGGAGATTTTTTATAAAGAGAATAATTTTCAATGCAAAAGATTAGGAGGGGTTTTTAAGAAAACAATGTATTTTTCATAAATAATTAATTTAACTTATTTTTTTAATATCTGTAAATTAGTTTTTCAGCTCTTACTTGTGTAGAACCTGAAAAGGTATCATATAACTAAAAGGAGTAATTATAATGAAGTTTTAAGAAAGGAAAATAATTACAAAACAAGTCCTAAAAGTTGTCATTTTTTTACTTCGAAACTTGTCATTACAGGCTGTTTAGGTTGTTATTGGGATTTTTTGATAATTATTTTTCTTGTTTGGGACCTTATTGTAATTCTTTCCAACTAAAAAAAAGAAGCCACTGATAAGTCGAGGTGTATTGAATGGATTCTGCGGGCTCTCTTGTTAAGGTTGTCGACGCATTAATTGAAGCCATTTGTGTGGCAACAGAGGTTGACACTTAATTAGTGTCCTAATCATTTTTGTTTAAAAAACGTCTTAAAGACTAAACAGACTCATGTGGAGCATCGAAATGGTTCACCTTCTAAAAGAAGCAGAGATCCCATGCGCGCTGTGGCCGACACTTAAAAAAAAAAAAAATTTAATCTGCTTTTTTGTGGTACAACGCCACAATAATGCACATATTCTCCACTCCAAAAAGATTCCTGAAATTCCAAAGTAAACATTAAGCAAGTTGTTTGACGTTGGAATAATTATGCACATCACACACACACACACACACACACAGAGGCTGGCAAAATAAAATACCTTTTTTTGTTTCTTAACTTTATTCGTGTAAATTAGTGTAAATTAGTTTTTTTTCAATATAACCCATGTATTCGTGTAAATTTTGACTCTTTTTTAAAAAAAGTATATATAAGTAATGAAGAGTTTCACATTAGATAAATTGAGTTTAATAAATGATATATAATAAATTAAAAGATAGCACTCCGAATTTGAGCTGGAGGAGAAAATTATGTTGCTGTGAAATGACGATGTTATATAATAGTGTTTGTGGCTTCTGTCACCTGAAATAGCGGTGTCTACCGGTTCGTATAATTTCTTTATATATTACCTCTTGTCCTAATTATAAGATTTCGTTTGTAATTTATAAACACCGTCTTATAATTAGAACATAAGGTAGTATATATATATATTGGGATTTAGATCCCCCGTGGCTATTATGCAGTGGGACATTAACTAAATTCTTAAATACTGTAAGGAAAAAAATTTTAAGAAAAGAAATAGATTTCATATACTTGAATGTTTTTGTCACTTATTTCGATAATTCTTTTGGGATAAATAAAAAAAATCAATTACTCCTCATCTTTTAAGATAAGAGCTATTTAATTCATTTGGATAAATTAGAAAAGCTAATTAAACTGCTACCTTTAATCCTTAATATGCTATCTATTTAATTAATTAGAGTAGATTAAAAAACTGAATTAAATTATTTATTTGTTAAAAATATGTGTTAGTTTTTCTAAAATAAGTACCCTCTTAAATTATTGTATTGAAATAACTATTTGATGCAAACTTTGTCAACACGAACAATCAATATGGATTGTTTTAAAAAAATACTCCAATAAATATGGAGGACAAAATAGATTGAAGCATTATATTTAAGAAGGAACTCAATCCTCTAATTAGTTCTTATATCAGGGACTGAAAATAGTATATAATTGTAACAAATGTGACATTATCTCCCTAAAATACTCCTATATAACATAAGATTAATTATATATTGATTTTATAAGTTAAATAGCTTAGTTTGAGGAAAAAAATGATAAATATAAAAGAAATAAATTAAAATTTTATATTTATGACAAAAAATAATTTCTTAACTAGCTCCAATAGACTATAGTTAACTGATGGTGATGGTGAAGGTGAAGGTGAAGGAGTACATAACCTCACCGTTGAAATAATATCATATTGGTGATCGAAAACATTAAATCAAAAGAAGGAAGAAATTGAGCGGGCGTAATGCCCACAATATAGAAGATATAGATAGATACAAAAATAACATTATGAGTTACTCCTCTAATATTATTTATAAGTTATTTTTAACATGTTTCACATAGACTAATAAAAATTTTAAATTTCATTAACTTTCATTTAAAATTTAACAACTTTTTTAACTTTACCCCGATGATGCTTTTGTCGTTAAAGCACTCAATTAAACTAGGTTCCAATTAATTTGTAGTTCAGGATCGACCTAGGTCATTACTTCCAAGGAGTAATTTATGGGTTTCTTTAGGTAAAAATTCAGGTGATAAAAAAATGCAATAAATTGGACCTAAACTAAAATGCAAAATTCTAATTCTAAATGGAAAATGCAAATGTTCTAAAATCTATATGAAAATTAAATTAAACATAAACGAATGCAATGAAATTTTTGGAGGATTTTTTTGGGGAAAAAAATTAAAATGATAAATGAAGAAAATTGACTAAAGAGCAAAGAAAATTAGCAAGTAAAATTTGAGAAGTTCTCTTCAGTAAAGTAGAGGGGACAACTTAGGATTTGCATGGATTTAACCTTCATAACCTTAATCAATTAATTAGACCAAAAGAAAGTGATAAGAGAGTGAGATTAATAAATTTAATAACTTATTTGAAACAAAGAAAACCCTCAATTTCAAAAATCTTTAAACTATTAGAGAACTCATAACAGTATAAGGTTGGTTAATTAAACTTATTAAAACCGATGAAAATAACTCAAATTAAGTCTGGAAATTATATTTGAAATGATCCAATTAAACAATTAGACAATTAACCAATTTAATTAAACAATTAAGAGGCAAAAGAACCCAAATTTTGCAATTCAAACTACATTGATAATTAAACTCATAATGAAAACTCAATTATAAATTCAATTAACAATGCAAAGGTTCTAAACATAAATTCCAACAAGTATCTCGGCACAAATAAGATCTAAATATCAATTCAATCCAAGCATAAAGATGACAATCTAGGACTAAATTGTCTCACAAAATTACAACTTAAAATTATCTAAAACTAAATAATTTCAAGTCTTTGAATTAAAAAGACAAATGGAACATCACTTCCTTATGGTCTTCAAGTGCTAGCCCAAGGCTCAAGTTTCCTCCATGCTCCTCCCAAGTTGCCTCCCTAACAAGCTTAAGGTTCCATGAAAATTATCTTCCTTCCAAAATCGTTAGATGCCGCAGCCATGAGGAGTAAAAAAGATAAGAGGATGATTATATGGATTGTACGTGGAGTAAAAAAGAAGAGGATGTGAATTGATGATAGTGAGAGCGGATGGATAACAATGAATATTTTATGGGTAAGAGATGGAGTAGGCGTTGAGTTCTTCCCTGGGTGTGAATGGAGAAGGAAAGAGTGATCTAGGCGTAGGCTGGAGGGATTATTTTAATGAGAGAAAAGAAAATTTTCTTGGATCCAAAACTCAAGCCTATTAGTAATTAATTGACTCATTTGATATTAGCCATTGGATTGTGCTTGAATTCCAAGAAACAATCTTGCACCATTGGATTTCCTATATGCTCTTTCTTGACCTAGAAGAATTTAAGTGCATCCATTAATGTAGATTATATCCAAATATAATCAAGAATTAAACATTAGATATGCACAAAAATTAGGTAAGAAAGTACAAAACTTTCTAAAAGTAATCTTTCTAAAAATATGAGACTTGTTTCCAAAGAAATAGGAAAATTAATTCCAAGTCAAAAATAGGAAAGCACAAAATATTTATATTTTTAATCCAAAATCTTAATTTTTATGCAAAATCCAAAAATCAACCAATTTATCCAATTATGCATAAAAATCCAATTAACCTCAAAATTATCATTTAAATCCTGAATTAATGTGGGATAAAATATATAAAAATTGGGCTTTATCAATCCCTATTTAATTTATAATATACCACATGAAAACAAAGTCAATACAATAATAAATGAAGAGAAAGACTGTAAATTTAAACGAAAATTTTCTCTCTTTATCATATAAATAGGGGAAAAAAATTTCTTCTCTCTGTTTCATAAATAAAATTAAAGGAGTATCACCTAATTAACGGCCAAATCTAACAAGATGCAGATTATAAAACCAATGTGAATTTGGAAGGGGTGATGAATATTACACATGAATAAAAATGAAAATCATTGGTTCTATTGTGGTCACAAAATGAGTCACAAATGAATTTGTCTTTCTTTTCCTCCTAGATAGGAATCAAAGATATATATATATATATATATATATATTATAGCATGGAAGTATTAATTTTCTCAACAATCTCAACGGTTGGAGCTGCTATCTAATCTATAAAATGTACTTTTTTTTTAATTAAAAGGGGTCTGTCTTTTAATTACTTTTAGTAACATACATACGTGAAATAGATCAGAATACAAGAAAAGAAGCCCGCTATTATATACACACACATATATGTAGAAGATCTGAAATCTAATTAAAGAATTATTTTAGGCCTCCCGTTGTCATTGACGTATAACATGAAACGGTTTTTAAACTTTTACCAGACGTGACATAAAACGGT